GCCGGGAAGCCTCTGAGGCTGCCTCGGGGCAAGAGCTGATGGTTTTGTGCCGCAGTAGCACAGGGCAGCAGCGAGGTGTGCTTGTCTTGTGTGGCAGCAGGGCTGGAGCAATGGTACTCACTTGGTCCAGGGGTGACCTTGGTCTTCATGGTGTGATGCCCGCAGATGGGCTGTACCAGAGCCACGTACTTCCCGTTCCTGGTGATGGATGAGTGGATGCAGTAGCAAGGACCTGGAGAGCCGTCTGTGGTGGGAGGTCTGACCCCTTGGAAGGTGTATGCCAGGGCCTTGGCCTTGGTGGGGTAGTGAGCCAGCCTGGGAAGAAAAGGCCGTGAGAGGACACTTGCCTGCTACTGCCTCTCAGAAGGTAGTTTCTAAGTGGAAGAGCTGGACTTGCTGGCCTCAAGAAGTTCCCCTCCTATTTTGAGTTTTTCCTCCAAGAACAAGGGTGCCTTGTGATGCAGAGGAGTAAAGGCATAAGCACAGGTGGTTTTGCAAACACCTTGCTAAAGAGTTGGAGACAGAAAGGGGACCTGCAGGCAGCATGGCTCAAGTGCCAAGCAGTAAAGACAAAGCAAAGCCCGTAAACCCCAAGAAAATGCCGAGGCACCGCCTGTGCTGAGCAGCATCGGGCAGCTCTTTGCCAGGCTGTGGCACGAGCAGCTTCAGCCTTCCTGTGTTGCTGCATCTGAGAGCTGGCATGCAGGCTTGGAGCAGCCAAGGAAAAGGGAGCTTTGTCTGCTTTTCCCCTGGAAGTGGTGGCCGTGCTGCCCTGCTGGTGCTGGTAGCTTTACCTGTTGTCCCAGGGATGGTGTACTTGGGCTTTGGGCTGGTGAACTGGGCCAAGATGAGGCCAGGTGGGTGATGAGGCCTCCAGGTGCTGACCCAGGCTCCTCTATCCATGCTGGAGGTGGCTGCAGAGCCTACAGGCAGAGCAGGAGCGTTGCCAGAGCGCGGCGTGGTGTGAAGCCTCCCCAGGACGAGCAGCAAGGCTTCACCTTCCTGGGCCTCAGCCCTCGGCTGGGTGTGGGTGTGCTTGTTGACTGCTGTAGCTCTTGGTCTCAGAGCACAGTGAGTGTGAGGGCAGCCAGCAGTCGCACAGGACAGGTTGTGGTGTGTGCTGCTGGGTGGCCTTGGGGAGAAGCCTTGGCGTGTCACAGGGATTCACTCTTATGTCACGCAGGCTGCTGCCGTGTGTCATGGGTGCTGCCATGTTGGTCGTACAGCCAAGAGGGAGCTGGGGGCATCTAGCTTGCAGGGCCAGACCCTGATGAGGTTGGCATGGCAGAACCGTGCAAAGAGGGCAAAATGGGTGCAATTTTTGTGTCGAAGCTTGGAGCTGCCCATTCATGGAGTATTGGGGTTAGACAATGACAGGAGTGTCCATTGGAAGACCTGGCTTTTCACTTTGGCGTCTCCTTTTCCAGCTGTCCCTTAAGCTCTCTTTCCTTTCTCCTGGGGAGGGTGAGCTGGGGCCGGTGTTTGTTAGCAGGATTTGTTCTTGGGGGGTCTCAGTTGGTAAAGTTTAGGGAAAGCCCTGTACTGCCGCTTTGGGGAGTATGTCCTTTCAAAAAAAACGCGAGAGAGGCCTTTTGCCTGGGCACAGAAGAAATTGGGCAGTGTCCTGTGTGTGCTTCCTTGGTCCTGCCTGAAAAGCTGGATGCCAGCCGCAGGTGGGGAGCATTTGCATCTGTCTCCCTGTTCAGTCCAATGCTTTCTTCTTTCTGGGTTTCTTGTACTGAGAGGAGTGCTGAGCATGCACAGAGGGCTTCCTGCCCTGGGCCTGGCTGGGCTGCAGGTTAATTGTTTTCCTGGCAGCCTGCATGGTGCTGTCTGGAGTGTCAACAGCACACTCATGTTTAGCTGTTGCTGAGCAGTACTTGCATTGCACCTGGAGTCTCTCGGTTTCTCATTCTGTGGGCCCAGCATGCTGCCTGGGCAGTGGCAGGAGGTGGGGAGAAGACACAGAGAGGCCACTTACCCTGAGCTGACTGAGGGGGACTTTGGTCCACACCATGTAGCCTCATGCTCAGCAAGAAAACTGGTGCTGGGAGGGTCTTTCCAAGGAAGCCATTGTCAAAGATGCCTGGGCACCAGTCTGCTGGGGAGAGGTGGCCAGTGGTTGCCACCACCTTGCTTTTTTCCCCTTTTTTTTCCCTGCACTTCCTGCTAAACTGTCTTTATCTTGACTATTGTGTTCTTCTTGCTTTTGTCCTTTCAGTTCTGTCCCCATCCTGCTGTGGAGGAAAGCAGGGAGCAAGTGACTGATGGGGGCTTAGCTGCTGGCCAGGGTCAAGCCTCCAATTTCCAATATTGTTTAACAGTTGACAGAGAACTGGCCTTACAGGGGGAGTCAGTGTTGTGAAAGGAGCTGTAACTGCCAGTTTTGCTGTGCCTGCAGTCGTCAGCAATGGGCAATCCCCTTTGGGTCCTTGGCTGGAAGAGCTGATAATGTCAAATTCTCAGTTTGTGCTTTGTGTCCTAAAGCACACAAAAGGCTTCATTCAAAATATCCCTGTAAAGAAATTGTGAGATGCTGGTCATGCAATAATGCAAATGCAGGTGAGCAACAAGGGAACAGCAAAGCTCACACTGCTACTACAGGCTCTTTGCTAGCTATGTCATGAGGTAAAAGCAGTCATGATCTAATCGGGTCTGACAAGAAGTTGGCTAAAAAACCTAGGTTGTTAATGATGAGTGTTTATTGTGCCTTGTGATGTTAGCTAATGCTAGCATGAAGCCATTCCAGCTACTAAGACATTCAAAAACTAGGCATGCAAAACATGAAAAGAAACCCATGCTGGTTTTGGCTTTTTAGCAGTGTTTGAACTCACGTGATGAACAGTACTTCATAAACCAATGATGAATGTTTGGAAGCCTCTTTCAAAGCTTCTTATTTCACAGTGAGAGAGAAATTGCCACATATAGAATCATGGAATGATAGAATGCTTTGGGTTGGAAAGGACCTTAAAGATCATCTCGTTCCAACCCCCCTGCCATGAGCAGGGATACCTTTCACTTGATCAGATCACTCAAAGCCCCATCCAGCCTGGCTTTGAACACTTTCAAGGCGGGGGTTTCTGCAGCTTCTTCAGGAAACCTCTTCCAGTGCCTCACCACTCTCACAGTGAAGAACTTCTTAAAGTCTAACCTAAATCTACCCTGCTCTAACTTAAAACCATTGCCCCTCATCTTACTACTACATGTCTTTGTAAACAGCCCCTCCCCAGCTTTCTTGTAGCCCCCTTCAGATCCTGGAAGGCCACTACAGGGTCTCCCCAGAGCCTTCTCTTCTCCAGCTTGAACAACCCCAGCTCTCTCAGCCTGTCCTCATAGGGGAGGTGCTCTAATCCCCTGATCATCTTCCTGGCTTTCCTCTAGACTCACTTCAACAGGTCCACATCCTTCTTTTGCTGGGAGCTCCACTGCTGAACACAGGACTTGTGAGGGCAACGCAGAGTGGCAGAATCACCTCCCACAATCTGCTGGCCACACTTCTTTCGGTGCAGTCCAGGATGTGATTGGCTTTCTGGACTGCAAGAGCACATTACCGACACATGTCCAGCCAATTCATTTTAATATGACGGCTCTAATACAGATGTCAGAAAACATGTTTGGAAATGTCTCAATAAGCTGTAGTGAGATGGAAATCTAAGAAAACACTTAATCGTAACAATCCACGATTGCATCCAGCTAAGACTTCTATGGTCTTCTGGTATGAAAGTGTCCTGCTAGCTTAAGTAAAAAGATGCTGCAAGAATACTGACTGGCAAGTTGTTCATAATGCACATTTTGAATTTTTTCCTTTGGTAAGGAATGTGCTGAAATAGAAAAGCAGGTTAAAAGTAAGTATATGCATATGTTCATTACTAATATGGAAACCTGCATATCTATACTTCACAATCACCTTGTTGGAGAAAAACTAATTTTTTAAGCCACTGGAGCTAGATAATGTCTTTTAATAGCTGTTTTGCCCTATTACTTTTAATTTGAATAAAAAACTAAATTGCAGTCTTTTGTAAGAGTTGTATCGCAAATAAAACACAGCACAATTAAATAGCTAACATTCAGTGTACTAACAGGTATTTGCAAAATGTAGGAAAAGCATTAGATGGTGTAAGAGACTGCAGATCAGGGAAGGCAGTAGGAACAGGATCACCAACTGCAACTCTGGCGGTATGGTTGAATTCTTAAAGAATTTTTTCTGGAAATACAGAAAATCTTACTGTTTTGCTTCTCGCTATTATGCTTTGTTTGGGAAAACCTAGAAAAATAACCACTATGGCAACAAAGGGCTATAGGATTTTCCACTATATAAAAAAAAAATCAACCTAGCTGGTGGGTTGACTCCTCCTACCTGGCAGGCTGTGGTCCAGGTGCACGTGGAGAGTCAGGCTGTGGGCACGCTATGCACATCATTCCTCTCGGTGCAGCAGTAGGTGACAGCAGCTCACGGATAAAGCAGCTTAGGAGTACTGTTTCCTGGAATTAATGTATTCATCTCTGAAGATGTACTGACATAGCTTACATTCACAATATACAATACACAATATATTTCTTTTCACAGACAGCAAGTCTACTTTTAAAAGACTAATTAACAGGGCTATAATTTAGAAATATAAAAATAGAAATAATATTCTGCAATTCAGGATGCACATTAAGAAATGAAATTATTCCCTCCAATATAGACATGAGGAGAAAGGCAATAGACATAAGAAAAATGGCTCAAGAATTTGAAAAACAGATGTGGCTTCCAATTCCCTTCCCCTTAACTTTTGTAGCTTTGTAACACATTTATAAAGCATCAATAAACAACAACTGACCAACACTGTTTTTACTGTTTAGGACTCCAGATACCACTTCTACAGAATTGGCTATATACTGAGACGTGCATTAAAAATTTGTGCTAAGAGCTACCACTGAAAGAAGCTGTATTTCAGTACTGGCCAAATAAGACTTGCTCAAATTGAGGAGTCCTCAGCAGCTGAATACTACAAGAGGCAGCTCTTGAGCTAACTTCTTCCCCATCTTGCCAGAAGAGAAATGAGAGTGCTTTTGGAGCAGAAAATACTGAAAGAAAAATCTGAGCTTTAGAGTTTTAGCAGATTATTTTACAACCAGTCTCCATCCTTCAGATTTGGCAATAAACCAATGGCAGTATTATCTATTTTAGCAATTTGCGTCGTTTCTAATTTGTATCATGCACATCTAATCTACATTTCTACAGGATCTCTCTGAGAATATCATTAGAATTATTTTCTCTCTGGGAATACTATTATAACTATTTCAATCTCTTACTAAGGTCAGGATAAGCCTTGGAAATCTTTTCCATTTTCTACTTTAAAAAAATCAAATTAGATTATTAAGTACAGCACTCAAACATTGCTCTTTAACATATATAAGAAACTAACATTTATGCTGCATTCAAAAAAAATGAATATGACTGTGAGGAGTGCTCCCATTCTCAGTCAAATCCACAAGCATAATTAAACTGGATTTATTACAAAATGAAAAGCTCCCCCAAGTTTACAAGTTCCGGTATCGGTTAAGAAGAGCAACTACGATACTACACCCAGCCCTTAAACTAAGAATAACCATCTGGATCATATTATACACTCACCCATATAAAGATGAGGACTCTCAACCTCGAAGAGTCACTTTGGCCGGCATCCTAAACCAAGGGGGAGGCTCTGCCCCATCTGCAGGACCTGCTGCTCCAAAGGGACTTGTTCCATTGTGCCCCCGGCAGGACCTTGTTTTAAATCTCAATCGAATCTGAGCCGTGGTCAATCAAAGCCATCTAGGCCTCCCATTGGCTACCAGCCAACTTCCTGGGTTTACACCGAGGCTGGTGGGCTAGACCCAAACTAGCCAGAAACTTCCAGCAGTTTCTCTGAAATCTGCCTGGCAACCGCTGCGAAGGCAGGCATCTCAGACTAAGGGGATGCACCTGCCACACTGACCTGGTCCATAAATACTGGTATAGAAGTAATCTAATCTTTTTAATAATGATAACTGGTAGGATCATTATGATCCAACCATACAAAGAAGCTGAGAATACCTCCCAAGTACTACTACACTTCGTTTCAGTTCCAAACAGTGGAGACAAACATGGGAGGTTTAAATTTCCTTTCACATGAATTATTTTTTTATAGGAACTACTTTTCAAAGAAACATAGAAATATGGAATCGGCTAACAGAAATAACAGAGAAATGAATCTCACATTATTTTACATTATCTGAATATAACTTTTGTTCCTTGTTGAGTCTTTGCAGTTGACTGCCATACTTCCCAAAACTGAAACTTAGGTCAGATTCTCCTTGCAGAGCATAATTTTTCAAAGGGACCTGCTTCTGGGAAAGGTTTTAGCTCAGCCACAGATTAAGCACAATTTACAAGTTAACCAAAGGCATTTTCCTGTGACTAATCACTGCAAATCTATCACCTCTTATCAGCAGAAAACAGTTCATACATCACCATGCATAGCACTCCCTGCCAGTATTTAAATAAAGGGAATTTCTAAACAACTGAGAGAATTTTGCTGTAAACATAAATGCTACTATAACATTGTATTGCTAATGCAATTTCTTTAGTATTACATTTGGAAAGTGGAATGATGTCATCATTTACAGGTATAAGTAATTTTTATCATAAAAACGAAATATTGTTTCTAGGGAAAAGCGAATTGCTTGAAGCATTGCCCAAAGCTTTTTTCCCTCTCCTCATCCAAACAAAACATTTTTTTTTTGTATTTAAATTTCTTTAAGATGTTTAAAAATACAATAAATTCAAATTAAAATAAACTTAAAGAGAGTTTTGTTCAACAGCTTTTATAAACACTATGTAGGTTGGGAACCTCATACTCCAACTAAAGGAGTTATATACTACATTGTATAGTTTATTTGGTGGGGTCAATTTTATTTTATTATTTTTATCTTTCTGGTTTGTCTTTTAAAAACTCCATTAAAGTCTTCAACAAAACAGCCATTTTTTGTTTTAGGACACACATATTACACTCTTTTTCCTAAACTCATCTGTCAGTTCAAAGTTTGCAAAGTCCTTTGCTTAGTATCAGCTCTCTGTAGAAAATTAACATTAAAACATGAAAAAAAATACCTAGTTCAAACTGATATATGATCAAAATTCATATATAGATCCCAGAACAGCTGCAGATCTCATATAACTGTATCAATGGACCACCATAAAATTCATAGGCTTAGTCATATCTTGCATTTAGCAGATTTTAATTTAACTTGTGGTTTATTCTGCTTTTGGTGCTCAGAAATGGGCAAAGAAAAATTTCTGTCTAACTTATGCAATATTAAATATGCAAAAGACAGACTACAGTATAACCAGTTATGGGATAAAGTTCCCATGAATGTCAGTGGGAAGAAATGGATCCCTTAAGACACACTCTTTTGTAAGAAGCAAAACACCTTCAGTCTTAAAGCTGTTCAGACATGCTGAGACTCAGCTCCTGTCACACCTTCATCCATCACCTTTCCCTTCCCAATTTCTCCCTAGAGTCCTTTTTCATACAAGTATATCCTGTTTACTGAGCACTATTTATAAGTAATGTGACAATACTTAGCGAGACTTTCATGTGAGATTTAAAGTATTTGTTTAAATGCAAGTTTGCTTTAAAGGACATATTTTATCCTTAATAAAATAAAGGCTACCTAGAAGAAATAGAGGAAAACCACACACAAGACATTTTCCCATTTTCTCAAGAGCAGCTATGGCTTTTGTTATACAGAGATGATAACCTCAAGATCAGCCTAAAAGAAGAAGAACAAAGCATACTTATGAAGCATATTGCCACTATAACGTATGGAAAAGGAAGAAAGAGGACCCCAAATATAAATGAAGGAAAGAAAAGAAAAAAAAACACCACATAATAGCCACACTAAGGAAATGATTAGTGACTTACGTAACGGGGACAAAAACAAAGGACATCAAAATACTGCTGTGCTGAGAATGTGTGTTAACTCCTTCTGGTATGAAAAATACATGAATTCATGATCGTACTCTATTTTTTCCTCTTATTGTAGATTAAATAAGATTAGCAGATCTTAGACCAGATTTAAAATATAAAACTCCCAGCAAATAAATTCAGATTTGCCATCCCTGTTATTTTTGCAGAACACATAGAAAAAAAAATGCTACAGATTTAAAGATGCACATGGAAAACCTATACAACATTGCACATTCTGGAAATCAATTTTTAATACCTAAAAATCATCCACATGTAGTTATGCCAAGTCACTGCCATGCTAATGGCTCTGAAAGCGTTTCATTAAGAAGCAGAAAAACAGGGAACATTGATGTGCTCAATGTAAAATGAAGATGCAGTGAATACAGAACATTTGCATGATATGAGCTTCAAATGGAAAGCATCCATCTATATATGACTAATTTGCTTAAAATCTATACCTGATACATGCTATCTAAAACATCAGTGTAACTTCCATTCAACCTGTCGTCGTACTTTAATTTGTATTTCCACTGATACACATTACTCGTGTATATTTTACATAATAATTTAGT